TGCGAGTCGAGCTCCCTAACCATCTGGCCATGCCGGGCCGGTGGATAAAGGATGCATGGAATAAAATTATTTACAAAGTTAAAATATAACATAAGTAAGGGTGTAAAATAAAATAACACACGAGACACATTTACACACATAAATATTTATTTAATATACATCATATTTCTTCCATAAAGAAGGTCCAAACATTAAAATACTGCAATTTCATTAAATTTTTAGTGGTGTGACACTTAATTACGGGCATCATGAAAATTTGGGTTATTTAACAGTGTAGTGTCATGGGCATAACTAGATAAGAGGCTGGGAGTTACTCCCCCCCCAGAAAAAACTTTCAGTATTCGTGTTCTTAATATATTATGCAATTTTTGTTTTCAATCAATTCTGTGTTTATTATTTTTAAATATATATTCTTTTTTATATTTCTGATTCTCAACTTTAAGGGGGCCCCATTATAGTCTCTGTACCAGGACCCCAGAAAACCTGGCATCAGGCCTATATCGAACTTTATGGTTATTTAAAGTCTGCATAATCTGAAGTAATTAGAATCTAGTCCCTTCTGCTATACTTTCGTAGACACTCTCATGGATTTTAATAGTTGTGACAGACAATTGTTTTGTAAAAAGTATAAAAGACAGAATACAAGTGATTCTTGTTTTACTAGTTAGTGTTAACGTCATAGAAGTAATCTTAACGAGCTATAAATTACCAAGTGCGTTTATCCAGTCCAATGTCACGTCACAACAGTCTATATTGCTCTGTTAGTGTTACCAATGCTTATCAATATCTGCTTATAATACTGTAATAACATCTATTGACTATGACTTCTTTAAAATAAGAATTGCATAAGATAAGATAAAAATTGGTTAACTTAAAACTTTGTAATGTGTTCGGATACCGAACTCTAAATTATTGAAGTTATCCCAAAATTCCAAACATTAATGGTCCTAAGGTCGTAAATGAAGGACCAACCCAGTTTAATGATCCTAAAGTCGTAAATGATGAGCCAACTCAGCTTAATGATCCTAAGGTGGTAAATTATGGACCAACTCAGTTTACTGATCCTAAGATAGTAAATGATGGACCAACCAACACAGTTGAATGATCCTAAAGTCGTAAGTTAAGTGATGGGCCAAACTAGTTAATGATTCTAAAGTAGTAAATGATGGACCAACTCAATTTAATGATCGTAAGGTCGTAAATGAAGGGCCAACTCAGCTTAATGATCCTAAGGTCGTAAATTATGGACCAACCAATGCAGTTTAATTATCCTAAAGTCGTAAGTGATGGGCCAACTCAGCTTAATGATCCTAAGGTCGTAAATTATGGACCAACCAATGCAGTTTAATTATCCTAAAGTCTTAAGTGATGGGCCAACCCAGTTTAATGATCCTAAAGTCATAAATGATGAGCCAACTCAGATTAATGATCCTAAGGTGGTAAATTATGGACCAACTCAGTTTACTGATCCTAAGATAGTAAATGATGGACCAACCAACACAGTTGAATGATCCTAAAGTCGTAAGTTAAGTGATAGGCCAACCTAGTTTAATGATTCTAAAGTCGTAAATGATGGACCAACTCAGTTTAATGATCGTAAGGTCGTAAATGAAGAGCCAACTCAGTTTAATGATCCTAAGATCGTAAATGATGGACCAACCAACACAGTTGAATGAAAGTCGTAAGTTAAGTGATAGGCCAACCTAGTTTAATGATTCTAAAGTCGTAAATGATGGACCAACTCAGTTTAATGATCGTAAGGTCGTAAATGAAGGGCCAACTCAGTTTAATGATCGTAAGGTCGTAAATGAAGAGCCAACTCAGTTTAATGATCCTAAAGTCGTAAATGATTGACTAACTCAGTTTACTGATCCTAAGATCGTAAATGATGGACCAACCAACACAGTTGAATGATCCTAAAGTCGTAAGTTAAGTGATAGGCCAACCTAGTTTAATGATTCTAAAGTCGTAAATGATAGACCAACTCAATTTAATGATCGTAAGGTCGTAAATGAAGGGCCAACTCAGTTTAATGATCCTAAAGTCTTCAATAATGGGCCAACTCAATTTAAGGAAATAAAGCGAAATACAATATTTATATCTCAGTCGAATCTGTCAAAGTACGAGTTATATACTAAGCATTAAATATCAATACCACAATACACCATGTTTGAGCAATATTAAATATACTTGTGATTTAAGGTTGGCTGTCTATAACATATAACAACGCAACATTCTGTTCAAAGTAAGGTTTAGTAATTCAGACAGTTTGAAATATTTCCAGTGATAAAGAAACACCACATCTTAATGAATGGTAAAAATAATTAACCAATAAAAAATAAATTTTTATTACAAGCATTCGATCGATCGATTTTCAGGCATGCTAAGGTCTACAGCTTTTAATTAAAGTAAGATTTGCTACCAGTTTAAACACATATTTTAATAACTTCTACCCAATTCTCCTAATTCTACTTTTTTTTGCAGTAACTTAAGATTTAACAAATTTAACGAAACCTTTACAGAATTTTAGTCCTTTACTTTTTAAAAACACTTGTCAGGCGTTTGGAGTGACATAAAATCCAAGCGAATTGAATTGCTTAGCCTATTTTTCTCACATTTTCAATATAAATTTGTTGTCTTGATGCTAATTGTCACGATATGTATAACATAAGGTTTTTTAACGTTTATTGTAAATATGTAAGGAATATTCTGATTTCATTTCTCTGGGTTTGGATCCAAAAGAATACATTTATTATTTTCATAAAGTTATATGCATATATATTTCTTAGTTTTCGAACAGAATGGAAAAAAAAATCTGAAACTATTAACCTTTACGATGTAAATGATAAAACCTAAGACGTTTGTTTATAGTTAAGCACAAAGCTGCTCAATGGGTTTCTAGCGTTTTAAGTCCGCAGACATGCCGCTGTGCCACTGGGGTGCCTAAAAAGTTTGGATTAATTTGTGATAAAGGACTTGGATTCTGTGAACTTTTTTTTTTTTTTAAATTAGAACTACGAAACTATAATTAGTTTAAAAAATTAAAACTACGAAACTTTAATTAGTTAAATAAAAAGAACGAACAAAACCATTAGTAAATAAAATGGAACGATAACATTTGTAACATAATTTGTTGTAAAAAGTAGTTTTTACAAGTTTGTTTCTGAAAGTTGAGAGAATAAATGACATGTATAGGAAAAATAATAATTTAAGTTTTTTCTTGATGGTAAATTTAAAAATAAATTTGTCATCAAGAGTGGAAGGTTGCAAGAAGGTTTAATATAAATGTTCCAAAAGCAACGCAATATTTCGTTGACAATTTCGTTTTCAAGACAAGCAGACAAAAATCCACAACAAATTAATTTCAGAGTATATGATTGACATGAAATAACTTAAATAGGCAATTTTGAAAAAAAAGGGGGGGGAGGAATGTTATTGGTGGATTGTTAATGAGTTTGTGATGTTTGTGATTGAAAAAAGCAACAACAAAATGATCCCAAAGTTAGGGTTAAAAATTATTTATAAAGTACTTTTTCATCATTCATCTATGAATAAATTGAAGAAACATTTTGGACAAATGTAAATAAATGCAATATCCTATTAAGCATATATAATAAAACCCTATAAAGTTAATCTACTAACTGTTTCACCAAATACAATTCTTCAGAATGAAAACTCCTCTGGAATAGCTAACGATCTTCATTTATTATCTGCCAGTTTATATAAACGCCATTGTTGTTTAACTCTGCTCACCATGCTACTTTATACCAACGGTGTTTGACTGTGTTATATCTGTAACTTTACATCACTGTTGTTTAACTCTGCTCACCATGCTACTTTATACCAACGGTGTTTGACTGTGTTGTATCTGTAACTTTATATCATTGTTGTTTAACTCTGCTCACCATGCTACTTTATACCAACGGTGTTTGACTGTGTTGTATCTGTAACTTTACATCACTGTTGTTTAACTCTGCTGACCATACTACTTTATACCAACGGTGTTTGACTGTGTTGTATCTGTAACTTTACATCATTGTTGTTTAACTCTGCTGACCATACTACTTTATACCAACGGTGTTTGACTCTGCTGTACTTATTAATTAATACAAAAGCAATTTTGCTATATTGTACCTGCTGCTCTATATCAACACTTTTGACTGTGCAATACTTCTTACCATATATAAACGTTCTTTGACTTTGCTCTACTAGTCGCTTAATATAAACGTTCTAGAGTGTGCTGTATTTGTCGCTTAATATAAACGTTCTAGAGTGTGCTGTATTTGTCGCTTTATATAAATGTTGCTAGAGTGTGCTGTACTTGTCGCTTAACATAAACGTTGCTAGAGTGTGCTGTATTTGTCGCTTAATATAAACGTTGCTAGAGTGTGCTGTATTTGTCGCTTAATATAAATGTTGCTAGAGTGTGCTGTACTTGTCGCTTAATATAAACGTTGCTAGAGTGTGCTGTACTTGTCGCTTAATATAAACGTTCTAGAGTGTGCTGTATTTGTCGCTTAATATAAACGTTGATCGAGTGTGCTGTACTTGTCGCTTAATATAAACGTTGCTAGAGTGTGCTGTACTTGTCGCTTAATATAAACGTTGCTAGAGTGTGCTGTACTTGTCGCTTAATATAAACGTTGCTAAAGTGTGCTGTACTTGTCGCTTAATATAAACGTTGCTAGAGTGTGCTGTACTTGTCGCTTAACATAAACGTTGCTAGAATGTGCTGTACTTGTCGCTTAATATAAACGTTGCTAGTGTGCTGTATTTGTCGCTTAATATAAACGTTGCTAGAGTGTGCTGTACTTGTCGCACACTCTAGAACGTTTATATTAAGGAACGTTTATATTAAGCGACAAATACAGCACACTCTAGAACGTTTATATTAAGCGACAAATACAGCACACTCTAGCAACGTTTATATTAAGCGACAAATACAACACACTCTAGAACGTTTATATTAAGCGACAAATACAAGATCGAGTGTGCTGTACTTAATACATTATACAAACTTTGCTTCTATGCTGTATTTGTTAAAACACAATATTAAATTATTTGCCTATGATATACTTTTATATCAACGGTGTTAAATTATGTTGCACTAGCTATTTTATATCTAATATGTCCAAACGTGTTGTACTGGTTTATTTTCATTAGCGTTATTTGACCGTGCTGCATAGAAATACTTATTTCCTGATAACTATATTTATAAAGTAATAATATTTAACAGATAATCAGCTTGTTTTGAAAAATACGCCTCAATCGGATACCTCCATTATCTCCTGTTTCACACGTCGAAGAAACTGTTCATTAGTTTCTGGGATATCATTGGATTCTCCTTCCAGCCAGTAGGTGAGTATTTTCCCCTTGCCCTATTGAAAGACATTAAGTTACAACATTGTTTGACATAATCTAGTTAATGGTTCGTCAGTATATGGAATATTCAGAGTCCGTTATTTCACGTATGAAGTCAAAACGTAGATGATTTCTTATAACGTTCAATAAAGTACCTTCTCTATTTATAGATTACGAACTTCCACAAAATACAGTGTTCCAAGTTGAAATATAACACACTTTAGTTATCAAGTTAACTCAGCAGTGACCACTTACCAAGAACCAAAGAGTAGAATATTTCAAGTAACTTGCTATTTTACCATGTTACAAATTCACGAAAAACTGCCCAAAGTTAACTGATTTCGAGCACATTTCAAGAACAGAGGTTTTCTCGGATAGTTGGTGAGTATAAATATATTTCAGTATTTTAACTATTTTTATGTCATGAATATCAATCTCACCCCAAAATACTTTCTTTACCTAGTTACCTAGACAAATCGGAACTGCTGGTTGCGAAGCACGCGCTATTTAACACAGTTGAGGGTTGTTTGTTTGTTAAGCTTCACTCAGAGCTATTGGAGGTCTATCTGCGCTAACCGTCCGCAATTTGGATGTGATAGACTAGACATCACCACCAACTGTCAGTTTCTGGGCTACCTTTGTCAGACTGAACGGCGTGGTTTGACAGCCGCTCGCTCTTATAACGCACCCACGGCCCTAAAGTACAGGTCGTTTTTCTATTTGGTGGCAACGGAGCGCGAACCACAGTCCAACAAGCTAACCACAGGGGTGTTGCGCTGTGATTATTCATTATAGTACCTATTTAAAGAATTTACTATTAGGTTTCTGTCTTTTGGTTGTTAAGTAAAAAACTACATAATGGACTATCTCTGTTGTGCCCACCACGAGTATCAAACCCGTCACTGTTGTGTACTGATATTTTGTATATGTTACACTGTTATTTCTCACTACTAGCTTAAGTGTACTTTCTGACATATGTTTACTGTATATCTGTTTTTTGTGTTGGAATTTCGCTGATATACATATTATTTTATTATTTCAAATTATGGTGTCTATGCACAACTCTCGAAATAATTTACTATAGTTATATCTTGTAAGTAGCTATTACTTTAGTGTTTTTTAATTGATTTATTTATTCTAAGTAGCATCAAATATTCTGTTGATTAGTCATAAATGTACTAAATTTCTTTATGTAACACGTAGAAAAAAAAAGAAAAAAAATACATGTTTCTATTTTGTTGCCTGTTCTCCTGTCTCTCTCTATCTGTCTTCCTGATAATGTATATGTTAGTCCAGAGTCCTCACATATGCTCCAGGCTTTAAATTAACTTTTAATTTCATTTAATAGTTAAGGCTTTAAAATATAAATTAATGTGATAGACGATGTATTTCCACTATTGTCTGATTTAGCAGATACCTCTCATATTGTCGTATCCTTAGTCTTATTTCTTTATGCTGTATGTGCAGCGTCTGTTATTTAATATAGTGATTGAACATAGCAGCTGTACGAATAACTAACACTAGATTACTGGACACAGGAGCTATACGAATAACTAACACTAAATTACTGGACACAGGAGCTATACGAATAACTAACACTAGATTACTGGACACAGTAGCTATACGAATAATTAACTCTAAGTTAGTAAAGAATAGTTTATAGAAGTTTAAAACTGGCTAGCTGGAGAGAGTAAACGGTACACTGGATTGGAAATAGGGCTGTTAAGTCATGTATCACTCTCCTTTTGGTGTTATTCATTATGCCTACAATATTTTGCTTTAACATTATTATTATTAGATGTGATATTTTTGATATGCATGATATTCAAAGATATATAAAATAGTCTTGGTACTTTACGACTTAAAAGGCCTTATTATATACCTTTTAGGGGTACCTTCCACTTTACACGGAATACGTACTTGCTAACAGTTCAATGCTGCAAAATAAAAACATGAATAAAAACTGGTGGTCACTAATCTAATTTTGATAACGTTCGTGATCATCAAAGCATAAAACCCACCCGTTTCTTACCTTATACCCAACAAATGTTCTAGCAGTACATTATGGTATAGTTTCTCTACACCTTAGAGCCCATATGTATAATAACAAGAGCATAGACTGCATACCTTGAGCTCTACTTCTCCTCTCGCTGAAATAATGAATGTTCGGAATGTTTCTAAAATAGCTTTCGATGTTGGACTAACGTGAATTTTGTTTGCTGAAAGGAAAAGTAACACAATGGTTGAACTAATGTGTTAATGTTTCAATAAAACAAATCAGTTCTCTACATTAAATTGGAAACGTTATTACTAAAAAAAGGTATTGAAAAATAAAGGAAAACAATATAATTTTACAGCGGTTAGATCCATCATAGAATAAGTAGAAAGGGACATAATTCAGTTTGCTAATTTTCCATACATACGAAAATATTACCTGCAATTAATGTCCCACTTAATCCTAGTGATTGCAGGAAGAGCAGCAACAGCATTATCAATAGTTAAACAGTTAAATAGTTAACATTATCAAATGTTATAAATACGATTTTTTTGTTGATATTAAATCATTAATATTCGCAAGTCAGTTACATTTTCAGCCTTACCTTCTCCATTGCTTTCCATGCGAGATGCTGTATTAACGGTGTCACCAAATAGACAGTAGCGCGGCATCTTCAGGCCAACCACACCGGCAGCACACGAACCTGTAATATCACACTTGTATTTTTACTAGAAAGAGTATAATATCGAATCAAGTCTAATATAAACTTTTGAAATTAAAAATAGCGAAAAAAAACACGGTAAAATAAAGGGCATTCCCGATAATTTTCGTAGTTCTTCATTTGAAACCGATCTGATCAAGAAGAGTGTATCTGTTCAACTTCAATTACTTTTTGTATATTGCAGGTTACTGCCAACGAGACTATTTGCTCAATATCAGAGCTAATCAGACGGCATGGCATATAATCCAAAATGTTAGCCGAAACGATATTTACATTATCTTTGCTTGTGACAAGTGCCGTATAATACATGGTATCAAAAGTAGCATAAACATAAAGTTTTTTTTTTATGTAAGAAAGCACGAGGAAGCTAATAGCGAACTGTTTTAATTTTTAATTACAAAGTGGGAAGAGAAAGTGGCTTATTAAAACAAACTACATTGAGGCTGCGGTTACGTTGACAACTGATCTCAATGTGACGATGAAATTCACAAGTCAGATGTTTGTTTGTGATTAAGTTCAAAGCTAGAGAATGGGCTATTTGAACCCACAAGGAGTATCGAAACTCGATGCTTAGCGTTACGAGCCTTCTGACTTACCGCTAAGCCACTGAGGAGTAGAGTAAAAAAAGAATATGTTAATATGACATCAATACTCCTTGGTTATTGAGGGAAGTCAACTCTACTTTGTTTTATGAACAAATATATTAGTTCGATAAATTTCACTTATTCGCGTTATAAACCTCATAAATCGGTTCTGTCTCAGCTACAGTGACGTGGGAATATCATGTAAATTAGCTTATGGTAAAAAACAATCTAAACAAAAGTACCAAACCTTCAACAACTTAAATAGCGAATAAACTTAACTGAATCAATTTTTTTCTTTTACCTTTCTAAGAATTTTCGACATATCTTCTTCGAGATGTTCATAGCGTGCGTTTTTATTTTTTATTTCTAGCATTACATTTAGTTTGTTTATTTTTGAATTTCGCGCAAAGCTACACGAGGGCTAGCCGTCCCTGATTTAGCAGTGTACGACTAGAGGGAAGGCAGCTAGTCATAACCACCCACAGCCAACTCTTGGCCTACTCTTTTACTAACGAATAGTGGGATTGATCTTCGCATTATAAGTCCCCACAGCTGAAAGGGCGAGCATGTTTGGTGTGACGGGGATTTGAACCCGTGACCCTCAGATTGGGAGTCGAGTGCCCTAACAACCTGGCCATGCCGGGCCTTACATTTAGTACTATATATTTAAGTTATCTTAACGGATAAGTATTAGGTCGTCAAGAAATTAATGTCGCGTTTTGGAACACTTTCATTAACCACCCCCAAGAAAAACGTACATCACGTATAATAGTTAAACGAACCGCCTAAACGTCACGTTAGTGTAGTCTATATAATGTGTAAAGTTTAGTATACTATAATCCCTTATAGTGATGGTACACGACGAGATACACCTTCGGCATGTAATGCTGTTTGAATACAAGAAGGGAAATAACGCCTCTGTAGCTGCAAAGAATATCAAAGAAGTTTATGGAAATGTTTT